ACTCAACGCTCCCTTCCCTAAAGGTTATGGGTTTTGTACGAAGAAAGCGTTCAGCCATTCGTCGTCGTCTAACCGTAGGTGCGGTGTGTGTGTGTGTGTGTGTCCGATTTGCCCTTCCTTGTCGATTTCCGTAGATAGATATGATTGGCTGTTTGTTGTGTATCACTCGAAAGTGGGGCGGGTGGATGCAGGCTATCGTCGGTTGCGGCGGCGTGAGTGACCCTGTGAGAAATTCCCTTGCTAGAAAAAGCGCACGTGCCTTGTAAATTGGAGATGCTCGACAGCAGCACCGTTTGTTGTCCTTGAAGCAGCAGTTGGCGGGTAGTCATTATCCCGTAGACGAGGCGCCATTCGTGGGTGCGAACTACAAGTATTCCTTGCCATGTCTTGTCGAAACACTCTTTCAATGAACATGTATGTGTGTACGGCACCGTTCTCGCACTCCGGCCTGGCTTCTATCAAGTGAGTGAAGAGCGAAGGTGACGATACAACGGACGACGGTAGGACGATAGCTGCGAGAAAGAGTCCCGAGATAAAGGTCGCGCGAAGGTACTGCCAAGATTGCGTGCTGATAGCTTTCGCGAGCCGAGAGAAATCGGTCGCGGTCACAAATTCTGTCGGGGTTCTTTCCGGAGCTGAAACCATTCCTATTCGGATTACTCAGTTTTGAACTCGTTCACCGTGCCTCTATTGCAGTGGCGGGATTTCGCGCTGTGGTTTGTAGCAATGATATTGGTTCGTGGAGAAAAAAGATCCAGAAACTCTGAAGAAAGAAAAAAAAACTCCCTCCCTTCAGGAAACTTCACCTTTGGGGAAGGAAAATCAGATATTTCTGACAGGAAGAAATAGCGAACCCCCACAAAAACGCGAAGGGCAGCGATGTAGCGGTGTTATGAAGGTGCCAACGGAGGGTCGACTGCTGGAGGCCCGGGCAGCAGGTAGCTCAGGACTCTGATAAATTAATTGCATCTCGAAACGGGTGGTTGTCCAATGTTCGTATATTTTCCGAAAGAAAAAAACACGCATGTCTGGAATGTGCCAAAAGAAAGTCAACCAACCAAAAATCGCCATACCCAAAGTGTGACTTACGTGTGACTCCCGGCGGCTTTTCTCCTCCCGCGAATTCACGGCAGGAACGCAGGACGTGGTGCACTTATTCTCCGAAAATTCCTGAATCGGACCCGCGGGCTCCAAGACCACATACACTGTCGAAAGATATGGCAGCCCGGCTCTCCAGTAGGAATTGTTTTTGATCCTACGGCCGACTGACCAAACGAACGCTTCTCGCCACATGCGAAACTCCCCCGATCATCCTGTGTCGACTTCGCAGCGTGTGCCGCTCACAATCACGCTGTTGCAGATGACTTCCGGCAAACAAAAATTCACCCTGTCCAAACCGGATGGCGAGAACATAGTACTCGCCAAGAAAGCTTTCGTGTAGTCAACTACGGTCCGATGCTGTGCTACTTTATTGTTTCTGCTTGGTTCGAGTGTGCTTGCGCCGGACGCGGCACCGAATGTGGCAAAAAGTGGCGACATTGATGGGAAGCCCGATCCTCTTGAGTATTTCTTGTTCCTGTTACACCCAGGATCCCAAACAGCCGGTCGGCTCACGAAACAAGATCCAAATTAGATACCGCGCACGAACAACGCCCAACAAAACAGCACGTGTCTCCGGATCAACAGGCAACCAAACATCGTCAAAGAGCGTCTCTCCAAGCTGCCCTTTCAAAGGGCAAGAAGCTCTAGCTGCAGTCAACACAAATGTAGGTGACACACCCCTAGTTCTCTGGCGGCGCTCTCTCCAAGAACGAACAACCGCTTACGGGAGGAAAAGGCCAACACGGCATGAAACGTCCTACATGCTCCACACATCTCTCCCGTACCGACTCCAACACTCCCAATAAACCATGCTCCACACATCTCTCCCGTACCGACTCCAAAACTCCCAATAAACCACATCCCAAAGCCACCGCCGCCGCAGTCGTTGCCAACCACACCTCTCCTGCCAATGATCGTCGACACGTCCCCATCCGCCGCCTGCGGCCTGCCCCTAATGCCGCGGGGCAAGGTCAACTGCGGGCGCTGGAATAACCTGCCCCCGCTCGGGGTAGAACCACTCTTCTCCCTCGTCGTCATCGAACTCGTCATTGTCATCACCAAACTCGTTCATTCCGTCTTCCACCTCCATCTCGTCGTCGTATTCGTTGTCCCTGTCCCAGCCGTCGTCCTCGGAGTAGCGGACCCGCGCGGTATCGTCGTAGTCAAACTCCTCCGCGTCGGCGTCGCTGGCCAGGGCGGCGGCGGCCGGGCCGCAGCGGGGCAGGCTCCGAGGCCGCTTGCAGGTGAGCTTTATGCGGAGCCCCTCGCGGTCTACCTCCCGGGCGTACACGCGGAGACGCTTGTTCCTGCGGAGCACCTGCGGCGCGCTCAGCCCCTGTCGTGCGTTTTTGGGTCATTTTTCGTGCGAGTATAAGATGGAGTTACAGTGAGTTCTTTCAGATTTGTGTGCATTTCGGCCGTGTTCACGGTGTGTGCGGCAAGATAGGACGACCGGCGAGTGAGTAGAGAAACAAAAAAGCGCATCATCCCGCCGGGGGGGAAACCAGGGGCCGGGATGAGTAAAGCCAGCGACTTACCCTGGAGGCCGGTGGACTAAAAGTAGACCGGGGCACCGACAACACCCGAAACAGCTAGCACAATTACACTGACAGCCCTGCAATCGTTGAGGAAAAAACAAGAACCCAAACAAACGACCTGCAAGACAACACGAACCACGGCGTTACACCGGCATCAACGACAACAGGAGCAGCCCCCCCCGCCAGGGCGCCGCCTCACCTTAGGCCTGCCGGGTATCTCCTTCAGGAGCAGGAAACCGGGCACCTCCGCCCCAACATTCACGTACGCGCCCATGTTTGTCACGCGTTCTACGTAGCCCCACAGCTCCGCGCCGCGCGACACGTCGGCCACCGATATCGGCGGGCGGGGAGGGGGCAGCGGCAAGTCCCCTTCTCGTGGCCCGTCCTGATACGTACGCAGTGGGCGAGGGAACGCGGCCGAGAGGGTGGGAGGGGATACTCACGGTTTGCATGCTTTTATAGGCGGGCAGTCACAAAAGCATCGTCGGCCCCTCGAGCACCCCCTTCCGGCACTCACTGGCGCCCCCACAACGCCCTCACCTCCACCAGAGAAAGGCCAAGCTTGCCGGTGACAGGGTCGACGAACTTCACCCTGACTTGGATGATGTCCTTCGTGGCCACCACCTCCCCTGCGGAGGGCGTGAAAGTCTCTCCCATGTCCTTCACGTGCAGAAGGCCGTCCCGCTCGGCGTTCACGTCCACCCACGCCCCGTAGCTAGTTTCACGGTTTTGTTCCAAGAGAGCAGAGGGGGGGGGGGGGG